ATTTCAAGGACAGGGACGTGGTGGGAGATGTTCTATGAAATCGAGCTTTGGAATCCGTGAATCATCAGGGTGTTCCACTTGATTTCCGCGCAGCGCTCGTCTTCAAGTCGCCCGCTCGCGTGCATCTACCTGTGGCCCATGGTCACCTCCTTTTTCGAAGTTAGGTCAAAATCTCGATTTTTGTCGAAATTTTGCATATAGGGGTAAATCAGGGTGCTGATCACGGATATGACGTCCTTTTTGATGTCGGCGCCATTTGGCGCCAGTTTGGCGCTGCAGATTTATTCTGCCAGTTTCCGATAGTAAATTCACATGCGAGGGTTGCAAATGGTTCTGATTATGAATAGCGCTTTAATTTGGATGTTAAAGCACTTTGGCGCCGTGACCACCAGATCACTACGAGTGGAAAGATGCCAGCGACGCTTAAAAAACCACCTCACTTTTTCTTTCACTACCACTGGCAGTACTTCATTTGGGCGAATTTCACGTTGTTTGATGTCATCTTCACCAACACCCTACAATATGCAGGCGATCTTCTATGTTCGATATCTTCTGAGTCCGAAACGTCACTCCAAAGCTGTAAAAACCGCCCACTCCTAGCAAATTCTTTCAAACCCGCTTTGGCCTTCTGGGGGCCGCTCAGCGAGAATGTATCACCTGTATCACCTGTCGTCCCGTTGATCATCGAATTGCTCGAGCGGGCGCCAGCAACGTCTCCATTCGTCCCTGTCGCGTGCAAGAGTTGTCCAGTGGACCCTCCTCGCTCGAGGGACACGATGTCCTTCATTCCTTTCGTTCAGAGCTTTCGTGAAGAAGTCTGACCATCGGGCCGGCGGTCGTCCAGGTGTTCGTTTGACGTCCCGAGGGATCCAGTCGGTAACCGCTCTGGTCCAACGGTCATCGCAAAATCGCATGACGTGTCCGGCCCACCTTATCTTCGATTCCTTGGCGAAAACGGCAGCGTCCCTGATCTTCGATCGTTGGCGTAGTTCGAACTCCGGATTCCCCTCTGCACTTGCGTGTATAGGGTTACTCCTAGCATCGTCCTCTCGACAGCGCGTTGGATAACGCTGACCGCATGCTCGTCCTGCCTGCGCAGAGTCCAAGTCTCTGAGGCGTAGGTTAGGGCAGGAAGGACAGCGGAATCGAAGAGGTGGGCACGGAGCCGGATGTTCTTCGTCTTCTTCACTACTCCCTCGATGTTCTTGTACGCTCCCCAAGCCGCTCGTTTCCTCCTGCTCAGCTCTGGAGCTAGATCGTTCATCATATTGATTTCCCGACCTAGGTACACGTAGCTGGAGCATTCGGTGATGTTCGTTCCGTTGAGCGTGAATGGGGCATCAGGAACCAATCCGTTTCTCATAAACATCGTCTTCGTTAGGTTCAGCTGCAGACCGACCTTACCACAGGCGCAGTCGAAATCAGCCAGCATTCGCTCCGCTTGCTCGATGTTCGGCGTTATAAGAACGATGTCGTCAGCAAAACGAAGGTGGTGTAGTTGCCGGCCGTCGACCTTCACTCCCATGTCTTCCCATTCCAGTTGACGCATGACGTTCTCGAGAGCGGCGCTGAAGAGTTTGGGCGAGATGGTGTCGCCCTGTCGAACCCCTCTCTTGACGTCGATGATGACCTCCTTGTAGAATGGTGAGATTCTGGTCGTAAAGTTGCTGTAGAGCTCACGAAGAATCTTGATGTACTGAGTAGGGACGCCCTGGTTGCCAAGGCTTCGATGACCGCTTCTGTCTCCACAGAGTCGAAGGCCTTCTTCAAGTCGATGAACGTGAGACAAAGCGGCATCTTGTACTCTCGTGAAACTTCAATGAGTCTTGTAACCGTGTGGATATGGTCGATCGTGCTGAATTCGAAACCCTGCTTGCTCGCATGGCTGTCCTTCATCCAGTATTCTGCCGATCCTGTTAAGGATGACTCGAGTGAATAGCTTGTAGATTACAGACAGCAGGCAGATTGGGCGATAGTTGCCAATGTCGTCCAAGTCTCCCTTCTTGTACAGCAACACGGTCCTGCTGGTTTTCCACGGAGTGGGTACCTTGCATTCCGACAGGTAGCGCGTGAAGAGTCGAGCCAGAGTTTTGATGACAGCTGGCGGTGCGCTATTCATATGTTA